TTACTTAAATCCAGTGGTAAATGAAAGACAGACTCACTTAAATTCACGAGAGAGCGTAAAATAGTCGAAAAATCCGTGTATTTTCTCGCTCAACATATGAGCTTCGTACCGGAAGTGAGCTCGCCGGAATATGATATATGGCATTTGACACCAGTGATTTTCATATGAGAGAATTTCTTTTCGGCATTGGAATTCTTGGGCCTTGTTTGACAGTCAAGATCTTTGTCCCTCGTTATTTCGGCGTTTGATGTCGATAAAATTCCACAGTTTGTATTGAGAACGACTAGGTGGAATATTCGACAGCAAATCCTCCCATCCCTACCTTGAATTCAAACTAATCGAAGATTTTATTAATTTGTAAAGAGGTGTAATATATACACCTTTATTATATGACCGTGAATCTTAGAGCCTGGACACTAGCAAATCGAGCAATCTGATTGGATAGATCGCATCGCATAACTCAATTATAAGGGGAAAAGATTACAAATAGCTATAGAATAAAGATAGTTGGAATTTTTTCGGGAATACGAATAATATAACTTCAGTTGTGCAATCGCTGGCATGCAAGCTGTTGATCTTGCAAGTAATAAAATATCATAAAAAAAGTATTAAAAATACTGTGCTATATCACTCATGATCGATATTTTTTTTCTATTTCAGCCAAGACCACCAGAAAAACCAGAGGATATCCAACTAAGACGACAAAAAAACAAAATTGCGGCCAAGAAATGCCGAGAGAAGAAAAGAATTGTTCGTGAAGAATATAAAAAGGTATGTTTCTTTACTGAAATCTTATCGCTAATGAACTGTATTTGCCGGACCATGTTGCGCACCAGTAACCAATGGTAATATGCCCTTTTGAATTTCGTTTCTGGGCCCAACTTTTCATCGAGAAAAAAAAAAAGGATTTAGGATTTTGCGCAGTAGTTGCAAGTTGCGAATGAAATGCACGCACAGAGCAAGAATCAAGTGTCCGATTGCAGTGCAGCTTTTGTGCGTCTGTAATGAAGACCCAGATACACGGTGAATGCCAAGTGCAGCATTACAAGCAACGATATGTTCATAAACTTTTATCACAAAAACCCTTTTAAAACTATGAATTTTAGGAATGCTCCCCAATTTTGATCAGCGGCCAGAAAAAAAGTTCAGTTTCACTGGCTGAGAACTTGTTGCAAGCAATGTTGCACGTCACACCTTGTGTAACTCAGTGGTGATAACTAGTAGATTACTAGCGTAGACTCAGTTCATGATTGCATCGGCAGCAACGTTGTGCACAACAGTTCTACCGCGCCTCTGGCCTTAGGGCTATAAGTGAGCCGTTTTATCATCTTAGAAATTTTTTCCTTCATTTCTTAGAAAATAAAGAAACAAGAAGAAATACAATCGCGTTTAACAAAAGAAGTCGAGAAACTACGACAAGAGTTCTGGGAGCTAAAAAATAACCTTCAGAACCATTTGCATCACTGTACGTTAAACACTGCTTCGACAATGAATACTTTAACCAGTTTGCAGCAACTTGCACAGCAGACTGACTTCAATGCTAACGCGTTGTTCAATGTAGACCGCTCTTTACCGCCCCAGTGATTGTTAGGAAAATTTACTCATAACTACACAGAATTTATCAGTGCCTACGTACACCCTGGCGCTCTTTTTGATGTTATCAAAGGTTAGCGAAAGAGTAAATTCTCATGTTATCTTCACTGGTGAAAAAAAAGTTCTCTCCAGTTTTGTTGAGAGCTTGTAAATATTTCACTGTGCAGGCTCGTTGTAGTCGCCTTTTGAATGAGTATTCAGCAGTTTTATGCTGATAATGATACATGTTATCTTACTGTGTAAGAAACTGGTCAATCCTGTCTGGTAATAGCTGGGTTGGCCATCACTCATTTTGCAGTTGTATAACGATAAAAAATAAACGGGTCCAACCTGTCTGGTAATAGCTGGTTGGCCATCACTCATTGAGCTGTTAGTATGACGATAGAAACTGGTCAATCCTGGCTGGTAATAGCTGGTTGGCCATCACTTATTGAGCACTTGTGTAACGGATAGAAGCTGGTCAAACCGTCTGCAGGGAATAGCTGGTTGGCTATCACTCATTGAACTTTTAGTATAACGATAGAAACTGGTCAATCCTGGCTGGTAATAGCTGGTTGGCCATCACTTATTGAGCACTTGTATAACGGATAGAAGCTGGTCAAACCGTCTGCAGGGTAATAGCTGGTTGGCCGTCACTTTTGATAACAACTAATATAACAGTTTTAAAAAAGATAATGTTAAACCCGACTTTGTTAGTCTTTATTAAACTTAGGTGAATAGTTTTTCTTGTTTTGATGTACCAACATCTCTTCTGTCATGGGTTCCCGTCCGTCGTTAGAGATGAGTAGGGACACAGGTAGCCCAAGACCATGTTTGTTTAATAAGAGTTGCGGTTTTAACGATTTATAAGCAATCTCATTGGTTTTTCTCAAAATCGCAGCTCATATACAATCAAACATGAGTGTGTCCGCTGTCGGTAGGGAGAAGCGAGAAGAAAGCAAAAAAAAAAAAAAAAAAAGAGCAAACGATTTCGCGGGCTTCCTTTGGAGTATTTTTATACACGTCACTTCCGGTCAAGTTATTTGGAGGTCGAGTATACAAATTCAACCATTGTTGTCTAATGTTAACGAAAAATTATGGCTAGCTCCCGTAATACCAATGACATGAACACGCAAGCGGTATGTAATACTCCAAGTAATTTCTATTCTATTCTGTTTTAAGCTTGTTTGAAGCTGTTAAACTATGATTTATGAAACCAAGTGCGGCTCACCCGATAGTGACTTGACATGTCATCATATCATGAAACTCGGCTTTACAATCTCTTTTAGGACGACAAAACTTTGAATTATAAAATACTTTGAATCTCTAGAAAGGCTAAAATCATTGTTCATAAAACGTAGTTCAAACTTTAAATACTTTTATTACGCTTGAAAGATTAGAAGTCCGGAGAATATTTCTTATGCTTTCCTGAATTTGAATATTGTAAACCATACCACTCGATATAAAATGGTCAATGAAAATTAATTTTACCACAACCGGCAGAACGAAGCCTGGGAGTGGATGAACAAACAATGAATGGTGAGATAAAACAAAGAATGCAGCTTACATGTAGAACAATACACATTGTTCACCATAATCCATGCTTTCTTTGTTTTCGTTATTTTGTCCAATCCCAAGCTTCTTTCTACCAGTGGACACCGACCCGAAATTTAACCATTAAACTCGAGCAAGGTACATGGTGAGAAGATTTGCAATGTATTACGATGTAAAGAATGAATATAAAAAGAAAAAAAATTGCTGTAGACATTACAAGCATTAGAATTTTGTATAAAGAGAAAAAATAACTGGCCTTTGTCACTTTGCACAGATTATATGGAATTTATTTACTCCCAACTACCATGCCATATAAACTCATATTGGCTGCTCTATCACAATAAGTTATAATAGTATAGTTTGTTAGGGTTTTTCCATTGATTTGAGGGATTTTTTCTAAATCCAAAATATGTTTGTGAGCCATATCCTGACTTCGATCATCCCTAGGGGTTGTTTCAGGGTTTGATCTGTGAGTTAGCCATGCCCT